TTGCTACCTTAAATATTCATGATTTGTTCAAGATAGTATTATTTATGATTAACCGAGAGTATATTTGGCATTTGGGGTTGTATATATCTAGAAATCCGAATAAATGCGTACAAAAGAGAAAGAGGATGTTTTGGTAACGAATTCCGGTGCATCTAGTAAAGTGTAAATAATGTGAGGTTATTACGAGAATCCCTAAAAGTACACACGAAGGAGTATCGCAGCGTACTGTCTGAGTGCATACTTTAAGGTATTCTCGTAATCACCTTATTATTAAACTTCTTTTCCCTCCAAGGATACATCATGAGAATGCCGAAATCCAAAAAGTTTAGAACAGAATCAGCGAACTTCTTTGTGTGGAGTCCGGTCAAACTCCGATGGCAGCCATGTTTGTTTTTATTATTAGAGGACGCTTATGCGCGTAATCATTCCATATTAGGAATTCGCATTTCCTTATATGGTAGAATGAAAATACCCTGTAAAATACCTAAGCGACGTTACATGCATACAGCAGCCATCCTTTTAATTGTTCGGTACGATCAGCGCCCCCAACGGTTTATATTATAGTGCAGTCGTTTTTATACAATTGAATATGCATTGTAGGTACGAAGTAGATAAAAAGATATACATGTTGCGTGGGAAGACAAAATCTGTTTTTTATTTTACAGATAAGGTGATGATTTCTGGTCATGTTGTCCCAAACATGGGATATAGTTTTTGTGGCAAAATACCCAAAATTTTCACACAAAAAAAGGCCAGAAAAGACAAACGACATTCAATGTCACAAACGAATTACAACAAATACTTAATTGATGTTGCTAGGTGAGGGTTGTACAATTTGTGAAGGAGCAATACAAAATAGATCTTTCACCTTTTCAACAAGGATAGCACAAGCCTAGTAAAATGTAGCCTGGTTACAAGTAAAAAAATCATTCCTCCGATTATCCACTCACCACTGAGATCGCGTTTCTATGGGTGATCTAGACATTGATTGGCCCATAAATACAGCACATCTGAATATGCTAATGTACTCTTGTTAGTAATGCATGCACTGAGGTAAATTTCAGAGGTATTTGTATTGTCAAAATAAGTATTATTTTAATGATTCAGTATACATGTGAATAGGCGAATAAGGAGAGCATTACCAGTGGAACTGAATTACCTAGTGTGACCAGGAATTTTTAACACATTTCAACAAGTTTCACACCAAACATCGAAACCATCATGGGTAATTTGCATACGATTCATTCATTCTTGTGATTAAAAAAAAATCCAATTATGTTCATATCCACAATGCTTCAAAAGTTTCGAGGAGAACACTGCCTGGGTTCTCTGATTGATAAGCTGCCATATTGTAGCAAAATACTGTATTGTAACTGAACTATGACCTGATCACACAAATGGACATTAATAGCTACCGTAAAATCTGTATTAGAAGCCGCATTCCTAATAGAAGACGCACCCATTGTTTTTGAATAATTAAGAACCAAAAATTCATCATTTCTCATATGTGTTGATGCTCTAATAGAAGCCGCATCCCCTCTGTTGCATTGTACCATTTTAATAGAAGCCGCGGTTTCTAATACAGATTTTACAGTACTACACATATGTGTTTATGTTGTTGATGATGAATCGGGATACTTTGCAAGTATATGTTACTCTCAGGGACGGAGCTACATCACATAACATTCTATGTGGATAACACATGTATTTCTATGGCCTCTGTGTGAGCTGCTGTGAAACGTCGGGTGAAGAGTCGATGAAAACCGCTAAAGTCAAGAAAACAGCACAAACTCAACTATGAGACAATTCCGACAACCAAATTTATTTATGTTGCACATGAAGGGATTAGTCTTGTTCTCAAGCGTCTCAACAATTATCCAAAAGTACTTTTTTTTGAGAGAGTTTTTGATTGTTTTTTTTTTGTGTGGTTGCCAGGTGGTGTAAATGTCTGGATGATCACTCCCGAAAATAGAGACTCAAAACATGGTGTTGTTATTTACATGGCAGACTCTGAAATACATTGGTGCTACAATGTCAATCTCGAAAGCAAGGGTGAGATGGGTGGCACTTTGTAACGTTACTATGCTGAACACTCTGTACTTAATATGGGGAAGCATTCTGGGATGTCTATAAAATAGTTCATAAAATATATAAATTTTATTGATACACACAAACAAAGCAAGACAAAACATAATTCTGTGATAGTTTAGTATCAAAGCTAAAATTGCAAGACATCTCTGAGATTTAAGACAAGATTTAAGATCTATTAAACACCCCCCCCCAAAAAAACTTATTTCTAATGCACCAATCTGTACATCCGCAATGTTTTGAGGGAACCAATCAAATGACTTGTACTATAAACGTTATGAAGTAACTTTGTATGTAGTAGATGAACTTCCTAAGAAACACTTTTCAATTGGTGAAGTTGTCTTTCTGTCAGGAGTGTGTGATAGTTTATTCTAAAACACAAAAATGCTAAGAAGCCTTGAATGAACTGAATATTCATAAATTATTTTTCATATTTTAGTCCTAATTATTGGCCCTGTGATAAATAAATACTGATTGGTTGTTTCATTACCATGACATGACGTCTATAATGTATGTGTGAAAGGTCAACAAAAACGGAGATTGTAGTCATGTCAACTTGATTATCTGAGCAATCCAATACTGTCAGTAGACGCATCCCGTAGTCATCCTTCTCATCAGCAAACCTTCATGGTTACCATAGAAACTAAATCTCTTCAATTGCTCGCTATTATCAGATACCAAACCAATCCGGTACTCCACCTCTGTTGGTAAGATTGGATGTTTTCGTTTTCTCTTGCTCTTTCAAATCGTCTAGTACGTCTTTTTCTTCATCAAATTTGTCCGGATAGAGTTCAGGAAATTTAAAAGTCATTCCTTGGCCCTGAAAAATTGAAACACAGATAGACACTAGTTAAAGATTTGCATTTATTTGAACTTGAGCTATATTTTAAGATATAATTCAATTATTTTGTTTACAACTATAAAAACAAGGTATCAAACTTAAGATATATAATTTTGTTTATAGTAATATAGTTCGAACATAAACATGTCAGAGATATGGATGCAGAAGCTGATTTTTGATTAAGACGAGTTTTTAACATTGAAATGATTTTGTCCATCTTGTCCATATTGAGAGATATTGCTCTGGAACAGCATTAATTAAAAACAAAATGGCCACTAGTTACCCATTTTGAATACATCTGTATATCTATAACATGATGTATAATGAATATATAAAATTTGAACAAATCATGTTCGATATACAGCTCTAGAAACGCATTTAATAAAACAAAATGGCCACCACTAGGCCATTTCGAATCAGGTTTGAAAAATAAAATGATGTGCATCAGAGACCCTTAATGGCTTATGCATGTACCAAGTTTGAAAAAAATCCATCCATAAACGACAAAGATCCAGTTCCAGAATGACAGAAATGCATAATTTTTGATGATTTTTTAGCACAAAATGGCTGTAATTTAGCCATTTTGAATCAAACCAATATACAAATGTATCTGTATATCTATAACATGATCTATAATGAATATATAAAATTTGAATATAATCAGTTGTGATAGGCACTAGAACTGCATTCATTAAAACATAATGACTGCCAGTTGGCCATTTTAGATCTGATCTGAAACACAAAATGACATGCACAAAGTCTGAAAAAAATCCACCCATAAATGCTTTTTGGAATTAGATAGTGAAACAATTATGTTTGATTTATGTGTGAAGTTTGAAAGTACTGTTTAAGATATAGATACAGACAGACGCACAGAGGTAAATCCATAAGTACCCATTTTTGGACTGCATCCGAACGGGAAATACAAAGGACATAAGAGTAAGCATTTATTTTACAAGCTTACTTGCAATGCACCCATTTCATATATCTTCATTTTTCACATTTTTTCAAAATAATTCTTGGAAGACATTGTTTGAATAAATAGAATACCAGAATAGCCAAGCCACAGTTTCTTACTTAATGGGATTTTCTTAAAAACTAAGTGGCTTTGAATTGGCAGTCTAATATGCCTACAGCAACATCTCAGATGGGACAACAGTTATTACATTATTAATAATACAGCGCCCTCTATATCAAATTAACAATGCACTGTAGATGGGGCTATGCTATAAGTTCTACTGTAAGTGATTACAGAGTTAAGTAGGCTACTATGACATTGTTCAAGTGTAGCATTCACCAGGTGTTGTGAAGTATATATATATATATTCACAAGAAGTCCTATTAACTTTAGTCTTGCTTCAAATGCCTACAATGTCAACAACAAATGCTAAATTTTATGTATAAAAAATTTTATTAATTTTTGCTGATAATGGTTCTAAATCAAAAACTTGTTGGGGTATATCAATACCGCATAACTAATTTTATATGAACATCATTTATTTCACTATTCAAAATTAAGAATAAATAATTCAATTATAGCATGATATAGCCAAGTAGTTAACAACAGCGCCCTCTATAGTCAAGCAACAATAGCAGAGGGCACTTTGACAAGATTTGATAAGCACACCATCCGGAGAAGAAACAATGTTACTTAAAATCTGTATTATAAATAAACATCCTTAACCAATCATTTTGACTTATTACATATTACGTTCCAAATGCACAAGGAACTCATTTGTCTGACATCACATCCCTAATAGTTCAGAGTATCTTTACAAAAAAAAAAAAGAAGACATACACGTACTTCCTCTCGTTCCTACTTTCCCATTGTTATACAACAAAACTTTACACACAAGTACTGTTTAAATCGCGCACACAGACAGACTTCCATCAGCGTATACTTCACACAATGCCGATACACTTCACTGGTTTTATTCAATAGCACCTACCGGTATTTACTGTACGTAGAGGTGACCTACTTTCAACACCTACGTACCATCCTACAACCAACTAAGGAATGGAATTCATCTAAATCAATTACTCTTTGTGTACAGTGAATCGCACAAATTTCACGGCACGCGCATTTTAGTGAGTCACGGTCAGAGTAAAATTGTGTAAAAGGAAATAGTACATTCAAGCGTTGTCTTTTAAAATGTTCGGCAAACTAGAAATTCTCTGTTGAACAAGCAGGTTATTGTGAGAGCTGTGCTAGTAACAAATCGCCTGCTGAGGTCACAATACAAGAGTCATTACGACATTCCATTGATGCTTTCCACAGGTGATGAGTTAAAAAATCTCTACAAAATGGTCTTTATTTTAAAAGTGATAATTAGCTAAAATAGCTGTTAATTAATTAATTAATTAATTTGTGTGTAGTAGAGAAGAGAGGGTGGAAATGGAATGGCACGTTCAACAAAATCTTTAATACAGCGAGTCAGACTTTTGCGAAATGTCAACTTCATGATTACTGCTTATAACATTTAATCAAAACTAAAAGTTTTAAAGTATTTTGAATTTTTTTTAAACTTATATATAGCAGCCAAATTAGAATTTACGAATAATCACATTTTTTCCCTAATGAGATTGAGAAAAAATAGACACAAAATGTAAGATTGTTATTTACTTGTATGCTTTATTCCGTTTTAATTTCATAAGACAATTTTTTTTTTTCACATTTCCAAACTCGGCAAAAAACCACAAAATTTTATAGTAGATAATTTCTCTTGGGTCCTACAATAGTAATTTTGTCTTAGCAAAAGCCATAAAATCTTCAAATTATGAAAAATTGAGCGGTTTATATTAAAAGTGTTCACAATTGTACATATGCAGAGCATCAAACAGTTTACTTAACATTATCATAGAACTACCGAGTTCTTAGTATCCCAGATTGGCCTCTGAAAAAAAAGTATGTTACTTTCAAGTCCTGACTTTAGGATTGGAAGTATGTAAGGTCATGCACTTCAACCTTTTCATCACCAGTTCCCTCTTTTCATCACAAATTCAAAAAAAGATTCTTGTTTATAGTCTGCGCTTTCCTTCAGAAGATAACATTTTTTGAGTCAAAACTGAAAATTGACTCAAATTGTGTCTGTTGGCTCCAAAATTAGGGTTCATTTCCAGAAATATTGAAGAACACAAGAAAAAAGTCGAATTTGGGTGAGAAGGTCTGGTGGTAAAAAGATTAATACTATTTTCACCTTTTTCTATGAAAATGGAAATTTTTTGAAAATATTCTCAAGGCTTTGATAAAAGAGAAAAAAGATTTTTAGTTATTAAGTTAGCATAGTAGATTATATAAATAAAGCACATGAAATTTTGAAAAACAAAGAAGATGAAGGCAAAAAGAAATAGTGTTGGTGCTTCCTCAGAATGTTTTCTCTTACTAATGTAGTGTTCACAAGCTATTGTTTGTATCTATGTACATAAAATTGCCCACACACAGAAACAGACCTACCTGGCCTATTGTATGTTGGGCCTACTCAAACTACCAATAGAAGACTTCAAGGAATTTTTCAGTTTCGCTTTTAACAAAAGATGTTTCCCACATGACATGTCATCTGACAATCAATCAGGTGATAACTATGATTAGTATTCAAATTACTAATATACCGACTTAGATTTGGATGTTCTTTTCAGAAATAGTTTATATCTACCTATCTCAGTTCGATGATGCAACATGAACATTGTAATGCGAAAAAAAAAATGATTTCTATTTCTGGTGATAACAGCACCATC